AATTGTGATGAATGGAGAATCTATAATCAAGTGATCCAACTTCATCAATAATTAAATTAAAAGGAAAAAGAGACAGAGAAACTAAATATTAAAGTACTTGAGAGAGTATCAACCAATTGAAATGTATGGATCACATTTGGATCTGATTAAAACAAATATCGCATAAAAAAATTTGAGGCAATCAGAGAAATTTGAATACTAGATGAAAATTTGATTATATTAACAAATTACTGGGTTTTTTTAAAAGAAGGAATAATAGTATTGTGGTTATTTTTTCTAAATAGCCATAACCTTTTTCAGAGATGCTGAAATACTTACAGCTGAAATGATATGTTGTTGTCTGGGATTTATTTTTCAAAAATTTGGGAGTGAGGGGGATAAGGAAGCTATTATTGAAACAAGATGATAATTATTGTATCAACAAGAATTGATAATTGTAGTTAGGTGATTATTACTTCTGGACTCATTATACTATTCATTCTAATTTGTGTATGTTTGGCCATACTCCTAATAAACAATTTTAAAGAGAAAAAAGGAAGGCGAAATTCTAGAGGGTGGGACTGGAGCCTACCTCACAGTTGAATTCCCAGTATACAGTCAGGCAAATTAATAGCAATAATTTTAGATTGAACCCAGGGAAAGAGCTGAGAGTTCAGGCCCAGAACTGTAGTAATGCCTGAAATACCCACTTGGCTCTCGTCTGAGGCCCAGCCTACTGGAAGGCTTTCAGGAAGTGTTTCTTGTATGAGCCAACACACACTTGAATATGAAGTAGCACTACATGTGTCCCTCTTGGTCTGAAATACATTCACTCAGTCACATCCCACAAACCCAAATTCAGCAGGCCTCTCTGGCAGGTGGTGCTCTACACCATCACTATCTCTGTCCTCATAGCCAGTGCTAAGGGCTTCCTCACCCGGGCTCAGCCTGAATTTTTTTTTTTTTTAAACCAAGAGTCTGGATTCCCAGGATATTTGTACTCTCATCCTCAACACCCTGCCACTTGGGGCTCCTTTTGGTCTCTCTGATTGGCCCAACTATTTCTGCCTTCACATGCTGGTCTCTCTGAAATACTCTTCACCCAACCCCCATCCCCAGCTCTCTGAATGGCTTGCTCCTTCTCATTCTTCACATCTCAGCTAAAACATCCCTTCCTCAGCAGGACCCTAACCAGCCATGCTCTCAAAAAAATGTTCTCTAACATTTCTCCACTGTCCCTTTCACAGGTTCATCCTTAACAGTAATTATATACTTAATTTTTTTTTTACTTAATAATAACAATAATAACAGCAGCTAACACACTGACGGAGCACTTACCATGTGCCAAGTTCGTGCTAGGCACTTCACGTGGGTTATCTTGTTTAGCCTTCATAACCATCCCCAGGAAGTAGATGTCATTTTACAGATGACGAAACTCAGGACCAAGAGGTTACATACCTTGCTCATGGCCACCAAGCCATGAAGTAGCAAGCCCACATTTGTAACCACTATGTTACAATAATATTTTCCCCTGCCCCAATGATCTCCACCCCCCATTCCATGAGGGCCAAGAGAACATCATTCAATAAAGTATCTCAGCCCCTATCACAGTGCCTGGTATAAAATAGGTGCTCTGTAAGGATAGTGGGGGGGCTGTCCAGTTAGCTTACTTGGTTAGAGTGTGGTGTTATAACGTCAAGGTCAAGGATTTGGATCCCCTCACCAGCTAGCCACCAAAAAAAGGTAAAAAAGAAACTTCTAGGAAACCAGCACAGACAAACGCTACAGGAGTTGTAATGAAGTGGAGGGGCTGACATTCTAGCCTAACATGGCCACAGAGACTTTCTAAGATGAGGTGGTACTGGGGCTGAGCCTCGAAAGGCAGGAATAAGAAGGGAATGGGGATGAGAAGGAAGCAGAGGGAACAGCAGCTGCAAATAAACCTAAAAACAAGTGCTACTATCTACCTAGCACTTACTCTGTCCTGGGTTCTGGTTTAAGTATTTTACACATTGCAGCTTTTTTTTTTTTTTTTTTTTTTTAAACAGATGACTGGTAAGGGGATCTTAACCCTTGACTTGGTGTTGTCAGCACCACACTCTCCCAAGTGAGCCAACTGGCCATCCCTATATAGGGATCCGAACCCATGGCCTTGGTGTTATCAGCACCGCACTCTCCCAAGTGAGCCATGGGCCGGCCCTCACATTGTAGCTTCCTGACATCTCACAACCTTTATGAAATAGGTGCTGTTAATACACCAGATGAAGAATTCAAGGCCCAGAGGTATTCAACAACTTGTATAAGGTAATCCAGTCATTGGCAGGGTTGGGATTCAAACCCAGGTTTACCTAACTCCGAAGTCCATGACACTATGTGCACCAAGTGCTGGAGGGATGGCTTGTGTGAGGGAGAGGAATATATATGAAAGAGTAAAAGATCCCTGAATGCCACACTAATCTGGACGGTGTTCCACAAGGGTGGAGGGCATGTGCTGAGTAGTGGTATACAAAGAATGACCTAGCATGTTTATGGAGGTTAATGGAGGGTCTGTTAGGAAGATGAGAACTCTGTGCCCCCAGAAGTTCTACAGGGGTGCAGGGAGCAGCAAGAGTGAGGAAAGCCAAGAAGAGAAACAAGCCATCCAAATGCCAGTTGATGACCAGTGGTGTTCACCTTTACACTTTAGCAAATAAAGACCTTCTTCAAGTCGCAGTCAGTCCACAAAACTCACATTAAGTGCCAACCATGTGCTAGGCCCTGCCCCAGGCAGCCTTCCTGTGTTTTTCCTCCTTTTCCCACAGTGAGGTCAATCAGGTTGCTGGCAGGCTCCTACAGTACAGCACCCGAAAGTGCTCTCCTCTCCTTCCCCAACACCACTCACATAGGGTAAGTAAACAACTTTTCTTGCAGATTTATGTTAAAATCACAAAATCTACAATTACTGTATTTCAGCTTCAGTAAGTCAAGGTATTTTAAAGGCACTTTACTGGTCTGGTTTGCAAGGTAAACAGTAACTCATTTTTTTCTTTGAGCTCACTTTTAATCTCAATAAGTTTTGATAAGAAAATCTTCTTCAGTGGGTGAATCATCTGGACATCTCCGTTCAGCTAGCAACCATGAGGCTATCACCTCTGCTCAAGAGTATCACTTGGGGGTGAGATGGGAATTCACATCCCAACCACCTGGGTGGGGGGGGGGGGGGAGAGGAAGATCGGAATTACGGACATCTCTAACTCAGCACATTTGTTGCAGCTGTGTCTCAGGGAATCAACCCCACTTTGGAGCTGTATGCTGAGAGAAAAGGGGAACTCAGCTTCTCATGTCTCTTGGGCTAAGAAACCCGGTTCCCAACAGACATCCCCCCTTGCTGAGGGAGTGAGATTCATTAGCCAAATACTTGTGAATGAACTTGTACACTTGCAGGGTCACCCCCTGCTCTCCCAAACACTGCCTTCAGGAGACACTGCCCAGCCAGCGGTTCAGAGTCGGGAGGAACCTCTCGCTAAGCTGGCTCAGCAATTCCCCAGGAAGGCTGAACCCGCAGGCCAACGCGAAGACACAGTGATCTTAAAGGCCTTGGTGTCTGGCGGGGTAGGGGGGTGGGGGAGGGAAACTTCCTCCACTTAGCTTCTCTAAACGTTGCCACGGAACAGCTCTCCGGCTACGAAAGAGTAAAGAGGCTTGTATGGGCACACCTCGTAACGGCTACCACTTCCACGAGATCCCCTGCTTTCACACTACATGGCGAACACAACGGGGGAAGAGGCGGCCCTAGCAAAGGCGAATCACTGCTGTTCGTAAAACCTTGTATGCGTTTGGCCCGCGCCAAGCCGAAGCTAGAGGTAGATCCCCTTCCCGCGCGCCCGCCATCAGCCCCTGGATTCCTAGAGAGGCCTCTCAGGCCCTTCGAGACCCCGCGCTCCCGACTTCCCGGCCCAGACCTCGGAACCCTCAGGCCTGGGCCGGCCTACATCCCGGCCTTTCAAGGCCCCTCAGCCCGGCCCCGCGGCTCACCCTCGAGCGTCTCGCACTGCACCAGGTTGAGGTAGTCCGCCTGGCTGAGCACCCCGGCCTTCAGACCACGCACCAGTCCCTCCAAGTAACCATTGTCTACGTTGAAGTAGAGCTCCGGGAAGAACGACATGGCTGCTGCGGGGGCGGCGGGACCGGAGAACCCCGACCGGCCGGCACGCAACGCAACTCCAAGATCAGCTGACTACGCGGCCGCAGCGGGCTGTCAAGCGTGTCAGGTGACGCTCAAGCGCCTCACGTGACCATAACAGGCGGGGCTCCAAGCGGCACCCGACTTCCGGGTGGATTCGTGAGGAAGCGTTGCGCAGGTGTGGGCTGGAGACAGCCTTCTGGCGCCTGCGCACTAAGGGGAGGCATGCCTCCTGCGCCCTGGCGTGGGAGCCCCGTGAATGTGCGAGGCCGGCCGCGAGGTGGCGTTTGTAGCCGCAGGGTTCTCTCGGGACCTCTCTAGCTTTCCCGGGTTTGCTGCACCTGGTGTTGCTGGGGCCGACGCGATAAAGATGGGAGTGGGCGGTGCTAGTGCTTGGAAAGATTTCAGGCTCCTGTCAGCCCACCGCCAGAAGGAAACTGAGGCCCAGTGAGGGGCGGGCTTTGCTGGAGGTCACACGTCGAATGAGCCGCAAGCAGGCCTAGGAGCCTAATGCTTATTCGCCAGCGGGGCGTTACAGCTCTTACGCCGCGCTGCGCCCCGCCTTCCCCGCATTTGTTGTACAAGATGCTCGAGGGCTGAACTGCGGCTCGCCTCTGCTTTCCCCAACCGCGCCTGGCCCCTTTAAAGCGTGCGTGTATGTAACTCAGGTGATGGGGTAGCCCAGGCCCTGGGGTAAGGGCGTGTTTGGTTTCTTGGCTTGGCGACACCCCCACTCCTGTCATGAACCTCCCCCCCGATTCTACTGCCACGTTGGAAATAACCACAGCCTTGAGGTTGGTCCCATCCTTTATTCGCATCACCCTGCCCCTGCCTCAGCCGCAACCTCGAAGTGGGCCAGCTAGGTGCGGCTGCAGGGGTTCATGGCAGTACCCAGCTTGCGGCAGTAGCAGAAGGCGTTGAAGAAGCGGCAGTAGCACGTGGCGCACGGGTCGCAGCACGGTACCTGCTGTCCCAGGCAGGATTCGTGCAGCCGTACGCAGCGACGCGGGGAGCGAGGCTCGCGGTCCTGCGGGTCTAGCGCCTGCAGGGGAGGCAGAGCAGGGAAGTGGGCTTGTGCCTCCAAAGACAGGGCCAGGGACCTCACCTGCCCGGATCTGATCCGTACAGGATGGCAGCGGAACTTGGAGAAAGATGGTCTAGACGCAGGGTTGGCCCTGGTGAGAGGGTCCGGAGGCGGGGAGGGGGAATGGTACCTGATGCCCCCTCCCAAGGCTTGCCGCCTTACCCCTTTCCCTGAGCAGTTACCTCTGCCAGGGCCTCGGCCTCCTGCAGTAGAGCCTCTTCTGCTTGTTCTGCAGTTGTCCTCTTCAGTGACAGGCCTAGGTCAGAGGATGTGAGGTCAGGACTCACCCATGCACAAAGCACCCACCTCCCAGGGCTGGGACTGGTAAGGGAGAAGGAGGGCTTATACTGGACAGGACAGTTTGTGGCCAGAGGGTGTCCAGGCCTCACCCCACCCCACCCCTGTCCACACTGACCTGGGAGCTCTGGTATCAGGACCTCGTCAGGCCTTCCCATGTCCTGGAGGGGGGCCAAGCCCAGCTGGGCCCCCTGCATGGCGGGCAGTGCCAGCAGCAGGGCACAGCTCAGCAGCACTGCAGTCAGCATGGCCTGGCTCAGCAGGAAGACCCACCACTTAGTCCCTCCTTATCCTTGGAGTAGCCTCTAGGGACCCAGAGAGAGGCCCTCCAGAGGCAAGTCCCTGCCCAACCTGAGGACTTACCTCTACTTGCTGGTTCTTGCCTAAAGAGTTCCTGGCCACCCCGTGCCCTTGGCTTATATGCAGGGTCTAATGAAGGGCCCACACGTGACTGCTCCCTGCAGCCAGGGCGTAAGGGGCCCTCCCTGGAGGGTGGGGGCACAGTTCAGGCCTCTATCCCTGCAACCTGAGCCTGTGTCGTCTACAAGAGGGATGCCCATCTCTGATTTCAGGTGAGGTTTCCAGGAGCCAATTTAAGTTTAGGAATAAGATGGAGTGTCCAGGGCCCCAAAATTTCCACAGGACAGGGACCAGGGGGTGGGCCAGGCTGAAGCCATTAGCAGTAACAAGGCAGGCAGCCCTGAGAGCTTAATTTAATTTGTGGTCCCAGAGATGTTCACTCAAAGCCTACGTGGCATGTTGTTTCCTTTGCTTCCAGGAACTTGGCGTCAAAGCGGGTGATGGGCCACTGGCTGTAGGGGGGCAGGGGGTGTGTGCAAAATCAGACCCTGGGTTTCTTTAGGGAGGGGTGGAGAAGGGAGGGGAGAAGCCCACCTAGCCAAAACCAGGCCTTCCTGACTGCATTCCTGGTCCTGCCTTTTTCCCCCTTCTCCCTCCAGGCTTCTCCAAGACCCATACCCATACTCCTGTCCCCAAACCCCTTTCCGCCCAGGGTTCCTGGAAGCTAAGGAAACAGAAGGGACTGTTCCCTGGTGGGTGAGCAGCTTCAGGGTACAAAGCTTTCAGGCCGCCTGTCTCATTAGTGCTAATGGCCGCTCCCTTCCGCCCTGCATTTTCAGGCCTCTGCCCACGCCTGGTCTTATCAGCATGAGGCTGGGATGAGCACTGTTTTTTTGTACAGATGGCAGGACACACAGGACCCCACCTGCTGCTGCCTTCCCTCGCCCCTCTGGAGGGCTGTTTATCACATGCGTGCCCATCTGGGAAAGGGATGCAGGCTGAATCAGCTTTGAGGCCCCAGTGCACACAGTGGGCTGGCCCAAGGCAGTGGAAAGAGGATGAAGGTGCTCATGGGGTTTGTGGCCAGGTTCACACAGGCTCCTCTGACCAGGAGGAGGTCTGAGGAAATCCTCCCAGCAGCGGGTGGAAACCAGAGGTTGTCATTTGGCCGCCTTTGGCCTGGTGTCCACACCAACAATTGGTGTTTGTGTGTGGGCTACATGGGGCGGAGGTGTCCTGCAGACAGTGGCCTATGGCAGGCTTCTTCCACAGATGGGCAGTGGTATCTATTCTGGGATCAGGATGGCATTAGGCTCTCCTGTGGTTGTTTCTGGGTAACAGTCCTAGGAGCTCAGAGGGCCACTTTTGACTGCCCACGGAGCCTCAGGAGGGGCAGGTAAATCAGGGAAAGCCTCTCTGAGGAGGTAGTCCCTGAACTGAGCCCTTAGCACAATCCAGCAAAGGGAAAGTCCCCTTGGCTCCCCTGAAAATGGTGTTGGCTGTTTTGGTGACTCTGTACAAACCAGGCCTGGTGTCAAGGCCTCTCTGGCAGCTGGCATTGACCTTTCTTTCCCAGAGGCTGTAGCCGGGCCTAGTGGCTCACCTCAAGGCTTTCTCTTCTCAGAGTTGTACATACTTGGTGAGGGTATCAGGCACCCAGGTGTGCCTCTATCCTGGTTGAGCCATGTGGGGCTCAGGAAGGGTTCCTCAAATCCTTGTGCCCCAGTCCCATCCCTGGCGATTCTGGCTGAAGAGGTGACCGTGGGGAGCAGGGGCTGCGTGTGCATTGGAAAGGTGCCCTGGGTGAGTTGAGGTGGGTCCCTGGGCACCCAGCTGGGCCTGGTCAGCACCCATGCTGAAGACAGCTCTTCATTTTCTGGGGTGGGGCCTCCTCCCACCCAGGCCCTCAGTATCTTTGCTGACTTGCAGAGCAGTAGTTGTTTCACCTGGGAGTGTGCACAGGTATGTCAGCCCTTGAAACAAGAGCTGAGGTGCTCACAGGTGAAGCATGTCCCTGGTCAGGTCCAGTGGGGTCCACACAGTCAAGAAAACCAACCATCAAAACACAATGGATGATCAAAGCAATATAAACATTGGATATTTGATGATGTGAAAGAATAATTGTTATTTTTTTTTAATTGTGATAATGGTATTGTGATTATGTTGTTTTTAAAAAGCACAGTTACCTTTTAGGGAAGCATAATGAAGTATTTACTGATAAAATGATATGAAATTGGGGATTTATTTCAAAATAATCTGAGGTGGGAGGTGATATAAATGAAACAAAAATTGTAAGTTGGTAATTGTTGAAACTGGGTGATGGGTACATGGACTTCCTTATTCTATTCTGGCTACTTTTGTATATGTTTGAAAATTTCCATAATAAAAATGAAAAACAAAAGGAATTTTCAAAAACTCAGTGGGATAAATGCTTTGATAGAAGAATGCCCGAGGGCATGTGGGACCAGGTTGGGCACCTACCCCAGCTCAAGGTGGGCACAGGGAGTTGGCCAGGGAAAGCTTCCTGGGGGAGGAGACCTTTACTCAGTCATGAAACTTGAGTAGGAGTTGGGGAGTGCAGGCAAGGGACAGTGTAAGTCCCTTGGGCTCGTAACTGACACATTGTTTACCAAGCTGCCTAGTTATACTGCTTAACACATGCTGTGCCCCGAGCCTGGTTCCTGTCTGAACCAGTGAGTAGACTCATTCTCTCAACTGGAGCTGGGAGTCAGCTACCCCCCGAAGTGCTCCCCAGAGTTAGTTCAGTGCGTCAGTCAGCAAACATCTGTAACCACCTTCATGTTGTACAGCTTCTGTGAGTGTGCACGAGCTCAGACCATAGCCACAGGAGCCCAGCATCACTCATGCCACCCATAAATACAAGGGGAGTCCAGAAGAGGACACAAGCATTTATTTAGACCCTTTCCCATTCCTCCCTTTTGCTCTCTGGTGCTGTCACCCAACTCCCCACCACTGAATTGGCCCAAAACATGGCCTATGGGTTTCTTGTCATAGCTCTCTATGTACATGTATATGTATAACTGTATTTATGTCAGTATCTATAGTGAATTTTTCATTGGTTTATCAAATTTTATTAGTTTTACAAGTAACCAATCTTGGTTTGATTTATCAATTTTTGTTACAATTAAAAGTTTCTGCCTTTCTAACATTTTCTGTCTTCCTTGGGTTATTACTTTTACCTTTCCTAGCAATTTGAGGTGCAAGTGTCAATCCTTACATTTGTCTTTCTTTCTTGATGAACATGGTTGCCTACATCTGTATAGTCTATAAAAGGACCCCATGGGAGCCTGATTCATCTGTTCATAAGTATAAACACTGTGTGGATGATTTTACTGGTCAGGAACCAGCCTGATGTTCTCAGGACAATGCTGGTTGGTAAAAGGATCTTCAGAAATATGTGGCATGTTCTGGGTGGAGGATTTGGGAGACCTGGGGATGCAGAGTCTACTAGGTAAGGCTGGGGACTCCAAACATAGGGAACCTGACTCCAGGAAGGACAAAGGGGAAAGTGTGGGTGCTCTGTGTCAGAGACAACACATGAGGACAAAGAGGGTGCTTGAACCCCGCCCACTTCTCTTCTTTTCCCTCCTCAGTGTACTCCTCACCCCAAGGTTGGTGTTCTTACTTTGTATCATGGAGAGCAGAAGAACCACAAGCACCCACTGGCTCCCCCATCCCAGCTAGATTCTGAAACCCAGATCCCCACCCAGCACGCTGCTCCTGCCCGGGACAACACAGCCCTGGGATTCCTTCAGATCATATGTAGGACTGCCAAAAGGCAGAGGTTGCCGGAAGAGGCACAGTCTCCTCAGTCATTCAGAGAGGGGAGCAGGATGGAGAGGGGTTATCTCAAGCTGACTTGAGCCCCGAGCTGGAGAGGGTCTGCTGTGGTTAATTTTATGTGACAACCTGACTGAGCCAGGAGATGCCCACATATCTGGTTAAACATTATTTTGGGGTGTGTCTGTGAGGATGTTTCTGGAAGAGATTAGCATTTGAATTGGTAGACTGAGTAAAGCAGATGGTCCTCCTTAATGTGGGTGGGCTTCATCTAATCTGTTGAGGGCCTGAATAGAACAGGAAGGCAGAGGTAGGTTGAACTGGCTCTCTGTCTGTCTGCTTGAGCTGGCACATGAGTCTTCTCCTGCCCTTGGCATTCCTGGTTCTTAGGCCTTCAGTGTTAGACCGAAATCTGAACCATTGGCCTTCTGGCTCTCAGGCTCTTCGGCCTTTGAACAATATGACCAACCTTCCTGGGTCTCCAGCTTACAGACAGCAGATCGTGGGACTTTATAGACTGTATAACTGCATGAGCCAATACCTTATAATAAACCTCTCTCTCTCTCTCAGATGTATCTATATCCATCCTATTGGTTCTATTTCTCCAGAGAACCCTGACTAACACAGAGTCTCACTGTGATCAGGAGCTCCTAGTTGGGTGGAGTCATGTTTGTTGCATGAATGCCGGTGCTTGCCTTTCTTCCATTCATCTAAGAACTGTTTACTGGGCCGGCCCGGTGGCGCACTCGGTAGAGTGCGGCGCTTGGGAGCGTGGCGGCGCTCCCGCCGAGGGTTTGGATCCCATATAGAGACCAGTCCGCTCACTGGTTGAGCGCGGTATGGGTGCGACACAGAGGGTTGCGATCCCGTTCCCGGTCACGAAAAAAGACAAAAAGGAAAAAAAAAAAAAAAAGAACTGTTTACTGAGTGCATACTACATGATGAGCACTTTGCCAAAGCTTCTAGACTTCGAGGCCAAGTCAGAGGCAAAGGTGACCTAAAGCACCTAATTCTGGGGTCAGCCGGGCTTCGGGGACCTGCCTGTTGCCAATGAAAGCATAGGCTGGAGTCAACAAGGGAGAGTGGGGCACGGTGCAGGGCCAGCTGGTAGACAGAACACCCTTTCCCCAGACTGTAAAGAGTCTCA